ATGGGTCAAAAAAATCTAAATAAATGATTACCTATAACTAATTCAGCAGTCGATAGCCTATTGAAATTGCAAATCGTAATCCAATTTCTGACACCTTATCACAGAACGGATTGAGTTCAGGATATACGGTGATAACTTTCAACTTCAAAATTAGGCTATTTATCTGATGATTTTGAAATTCGTCACGGGCTCAAATTATTGTGACTCACCCTGTATACGCATGAAATTTTCCATCGGTTCATCTCATTCTGACTCTGAAAGCACCTTGTTTCTCTATATATTCTTGTATAGATATAACATTTCGATGAGATGCATATCTACAGAGTGTAAGGAAATTCTAAATTGAATAAGATTTTTTTTTAATCTAATTCACGTAGGTACAACTGAATTCCTGATAATTGATACCACACGCAGGCAGTCGGAACTAACTGCATCTCTATACACTTATCAAACACCGACAATAAGAATATAAAAAATATACGATCTCACATTGAGAAGCTGTATTGAGAAGCATACAAAGATTCTTGAGGTGAAATTCTATCGAGATCTCATTCAGAATAACATATTTCATGTTAGAATAGTTATTCTGATCTGATACTTCTTTTATCTTACATGCATTCACCAGCGCCATCGCATAGCATACCTGAAAAGCGGACAGAAAATCGATACTCCGTTCCCGATAGGGCACTGTACCTACGATGGATTACCATTCTGACGAAATACCGTGCTGATACAATACGGTTCTGATGGAATACGGTTTTGATGAAATACGGTTATGATGGATTAGCGTTCTGATAGAATACGATTATGATACATTGATATGCTGATGAAATACGGAAGCGATGAATTACGGTTCTTATGAAATACAGTTCTGATGATTTACAGTTCTGTTAAAATACGGTTATGATGTTTAACAGTACCGATACTATACACTGCTGACAAAATAATATTCCGACGGATTACAGTTCTGATAATTTACCATCATGACGATTTACCATTATGATATATTATCATTGCGACAGAATACGATTCTGACAAATTACTGAAGCGACGAAATACGGTTCTGATGAATTGCCTTTTTTATTTAATACGGTTTTGTTGATTCACAGTGCTGTCAGAATACGATTCTGATGAAATACCATTATGATGGAATACGGTTATGATGAATTACCATTTCTATAAAGTACGGTATGATGTTTTACGTTTTTATGAAGTACATTCCTTCATTTTACGACATGACAGATTACATTATGATGTTTTGCATGCCGATGAATTACTGCTCTGTTAAATTACGGTTCTGTTGAATCACCATTTTGATCGAATATATTTTGATATAATACGGTGTTGATAGAATACGTTCTGACGAATTATATGCAGCCTTCATAAACCACGTCACAGAAGGCTCTTATCGATCCGCTCATTCATTTTCATCGATACAAGAATTCAATATCTTTGGAACCACCATTCTCTATGAATAATATTGATGAGATATTAACTAGACCTATTGCAATCACAAAATTTCAGCTAGAATTTCAGCTGGAATATGAGGAATATAAGCACATAAGGGTCTGTGGGGTCTATATGATTGCATGTCATCTCGAATATTTTGTCACAAAACATTGCAACCAATCCAAGTCGGCAAATGTTGACTCTTGAATGAAAGATTATATCTGTGTAGTGTACAAACAATCAAATCAAACATTCAAATGATCAAGCTGTTTTGAGATCAGGAAACTTCTTCCCTTAGACACACTAATGTATCATCTTATTTGGTTGAGCAGCAATGTCTCATCAGTTTTTGTTTCCACAATGTCTGTGTCCACTATCATCACAAAACTATAATTATAGAGGAATCATATATTGAAATATATGTTTGCAGCTTACCTGAAATTTCAGTTTCAACCGTTTATTAGCCTATGCTTGATGGAGCCACTGATAAGGAATGGATGAGACTTGTATTCTGTTTTTCAAACATCTTATATTGGTGCATGGAGAAATCGATCCAGTAGGGAATTCGCTTTCAATATATTGATGATTATTAGCCCACTGCATCACGGTGTTCTAATTATTTGGGTTCCCAAAGTCTAACCCTGAATTAAATGAGATTTACAGTTCATTCCTATGACTGAGAGCCAAGAAAAGATTACATATACAGGCTGTTCAGGAAATATGGCTTTGTTGCTGGGTTATGGACGAGTGGGTTGCACCCCTATAGTAATAGTAGTAATAGATGTGTGCTGGTTATTGAGTCACGTTATCTCCCTCCATAGCTTTCTATTTGGTAGTCAAGACTCCTCAATGAACCCCATCATCCAATTTTTCATCCAACATTCAACATCACCTTCTATCATACCCATCACTTTCAAAATACGCTGATGATGGACATCACACATTATGTTCCTGATTTAATGTTAATGTTAATGTTAATGGATTTGAATATGCAATAAGTACTTCAACTGGAGGAATTCGTCACATAAAATGCCTTATCATTACCTAAAGGTTTTAATCAAGCATTAGAAAAAGAAAATTGGCTTTAAGTATATTTTGCGCCATATTTACTACGGACAGATGTCGGCCATTGGTGGAAATGAAGATTCCAAGCGGAAAATAGAAAAGATGCATTGATACTGCCGTCGAAAATGTTGTTTTTACACATTTTTCAATCGACTCACCCATATTCAGCAAACATTCACACAGTTTTGTCAACTTCTTTGAAAAATTATTAAAATTCACATCCAATTCTAACTGGTAAAAACACATTATTTATAGGGCGCTGCTTTTTTTCGTCAAAAAAGTCGTCATCGTTTTCATTTTACAGCCTCAATCTTCACAAAAAGGACTTTTTGATACAGTATAGGGAATTATCATATCATACCGCCATGTTTAATCTCTTTCATAACTATCTATTGTTCTCTCTCCATTTTGACATGTTTGTATTTTAATTAGTTCTGAAACACGTTACGGACTATATCATCTTAACAAATGCTTACTGCGACTGATAAGGTTTCAATTCTAGCCAATAAGTTTTAATGTTGGAATAAGAAGTGTCGTTTCAAAACCAATAGGTATGAACTCGTGCTGAAAGGCTTTAAAGGAAGTAGTTTTGATAGGTTTCATTATTGCTTGTAGGCATACTGCAATAAATTCCTATTAGTTTTAATGTTTTGATGAAAAATCCCAGAGATGACTTCGTGCTTTTTCTAGTGAATTTGGATAGAAGAACGATCTTATTCTTTCACAAGTGGAATAATAGTGGAGCGATATAAGGTCAGGGGCAACCATGAGTCTTCTTGTCGAAGATGATCAAGTGGTGCATATACAAGAAGCATCATCTGCGGAAGAGACCTGGGTATTCATTGAATAACTACTTCGAGAAATCTACTTGAATCACGAAAGTTTTCACATTGAAGAGGATTTGCAGAATGTGATAATCTGAAAATGATAACATGGAAGAACACCTCAACTTCTTGTTAACCAATATTGGCGAATCTTGAGGCAGAATCAGTGGAAAATCTGGTAGTTGCATCCTAACTGAGTAGTTTGTTTGAAAATTATGATTCTTCAGCCACGACCCCAGAAGTCAGATTAGAAGCAGAACTTGCGTTGGAGATGGTGGAATATATTGAATCACAGGTGTAGAGAAACGAAGAAAATTGAAGTAGGTGAGGAAAAGGTGCTAAAAGCTGAAAATAATGCTGATGTATTTCAAGGACCAAATACATCTTTTATTCGTAATTCTCGTGATACGCATGGTCATATGAACAGGAACTGTTATTCTCACGAGGAATAACAAAACCGTGAGTCATATAAAGCAGATCGTGTAACAGAAGAAAGTGGAGATGATATTGGAATTGAAGACGAAGAAAAGTTTTTTAGTTCCAAGTAGGTGATCATGATTCCATCAATAGACATCGATGGAATAGTTTTTTCGTTGATATTTGCGATGAGAGTTAGGATTTTATGGAAAATAATATAGTATATGCAGAAAGAGAACTTGTATAAGTGACAGACACAACAGACATCTCATTGTGTATGGAATAAAGTGATCAGTAGTTTCATCTATAGATGACATCGACGATCTGCAGATCGAAAACCAGATGCAGTGAATGTGACATTGCATAGGTCATTTCTATCTGGATTGCATATAGAATCATGTATTGAAAGGATCACGTGCGCTAACTGCAACGGAATATCATTAATACTTCCTTCAAGGTGGTCTATCAGAGTCTAACTATTTCGATATTTTGTATCATCACCAGCTTCAAAATTCGGATGCACAGGAGTATTGTTCAGCAAACACTAACAAAATGATTGTATTTTCGATATTCCATGCGAATTCGTTCATACGCTGCACATTGTCTGGGTAAATGCTTTCCTTCAAAATTTATGCAATTTTCTTATCCGCTCTTTTCGCTGCTTGACTGACTGCTTGCTGTGATCCTCTTGCATTCAATCGACTGTATTCTAGTCGAATCTTCCTCCGAAAGAATCAATTTCTTATACTATGTCACGTACAGTTTTTGCTGGCTCTCAACTAGCGTGTTGTTTACTTCTCTCAGCTGATTTACATTTTATAATCGCTATATACGTGGCACAAGCTACAACTGTTGTCATTCAAATGCTCCGTGAAAAACTGCGAAAACAAGTGATCAAACGAGGAATTAAATTGTGAAAACGGGACGAATTGTCGTTATAGTGATTATTTGAACAAACTTATAAAATTAGTGAATCTAGAACTTTGAAGATAGCCGCAAAAAGAGAGGTCTGTTCTATTATCAATATGAAAATTATCTGTATAGATACGATGAGGATCATATTTGAAGTGTACGAAGCCCCCACCGAACGACAATAAAGCACAGAATCAAGTACATGTGTAACGATAGATCGCTATTTGCTAGCTGTTTGCCGTTTGGCCAATACAAGTTCAGCGTACAATCTTCGCACATAGCTCGTATATCGTGAAGTCGTACCAAAGTTTTCAGAATACGTAGTTGTCAACAATGGTTGATAAGGAAATCTCGAATGAGGATATCTATGCCCTATTGCAATCTTTAGTATCTCAAAATAACGAAATCAAACAAAAAATGAGAAATATCAACTCAAGAATTGATGTAATAACCGTCAGAGTAAATGGAACAAACGAGCAAGTGGAAAAACTCGAGGAAGGAAATAGGGAGCTCAAAAGTCTAAATGAGGGTTTGGGAAGACAGGCAAAAAAATATAATATAGTGGTCTATGGACTCCCCAAAACGAAAAAAGATACACTAGAGGACGTTGAATATCTCATTGAGACCCTAGATATGCTAGTATCTTCAGACATTGAAGTGAGAGACGCTTTTAGAATTGGAAAAAAAGTGGAAGGTAAAATTCGACCAATAGTTGCACAATTAACCACATACCGAATGAAAGCTGATATTTTAATTAAATCGAAGAGGAACGACATACTTCAGAAAAAAGGAGTTTTCATCTCAAACGATTATCCCAAAAAAATTTACCAGCAGAGAAAATGTCTCCATTCCAAATTGAAAGCTGCAAAATCTCAGGGACACACGGCACAAATAACAAAACACAATAGTCTACAAATAAATAGAAATATATTCTCTTACCAAGAGTTGGTAGACGAAGAAGAAGAAAATCAACGAGAGATCTCATCTGCACCAGAAACACACAAGCCAAGTGAAGCCAAACGAAAAGATAGAGAAAAAACACCAGAAGAAGCAAGAAAATTAAAACCGAAAATATCCGCAGAGATTCGCTCCTAAAATAGGAATAGGAATAAGCAGTAGAATAGTTAATTCTTATTCAAACATTTGTTTTGCAATCATCTCATTCATATAGATAATCAAAGAACCCAACACTAATGAATTCATTTATCAGAGATTTCAGAGATAATACTGTGGAAACAACAAATGTTGATATTCTAGAGAATTGTAAAATTAAACTAAATACTAGGAAGCCTAATTTTACCATTTTTCACAATAATATTAGTAGCATATCTAAGAATTTTGATAGTTTCCAGACATTGATGAAGCAGATTTCGGTAGAAATAAATTTCATTTTATTAACTGAAACCTGGAAAGTGCACAACACAAAGATATTTTCACTTGAAGGCTATGATGCAATATACAGTAGCGGTGAGTATAACCAAAATGACGGCGTCAAGGTTTTTATCAAGAACAATTTGAATCACACACATACATTTCACAAAATTCATGAATCTACAATAATTCAGGTTACAATCAATTTGAAAAACAGTCAATATCTGACTATTACTAGTATTTACAGATCACCATCATCATGCCCAGATGAATTTAATCGGCAGTTAGAACAATATATTAAAAATTTCTTGAATAATCAGAATAATTATCAACATATCATAGAAGGGGACATAAATATCAATATCTTGTAAAATACGGATACAAGTCACGAATACATGAATATCCTTAATTGGGAATGTTTCAGATCTTGTATCAATATATACACACGTATACAGGGAGATGCACAGTCATGCATGCATGATATATTTGTGAAAATATAATCAATGACTCTCAGTCCATAGTTTTAGAGTCTCATATTTCTGATCATTTTTCGCAAATATTCCAGTTTGGAACAGAAGTCGATTTGAAAGATGAAAAAATATACTACAAAAAAAACTATTGATTATATGAGAAAAATAGAATGTCCATAATTGATTGGAGTGAAATATACCATCTCACAAATACAGATACCATGACTAACACATTCATTGATATCTTGAGAAATGAGGTACAGAATTGCACGAAAAGTAATAAAATTCGATATCATAAAAAAAAAGTTGGATAACTCCGCGACTCATGACCCCTATAAAAAAACGGGATGAACTATACCGAAAATGGAAGGGGAATAAAAACGACCCGAAACGATTAGCTGACTTCAAAACATATCGAAATAAACTAAACAATTTGAATAAAGATACGAAGTCTGAGTACTTCTAAGCCAAAATTGTAAATAATAAACAAGACTCGAAACAACTGTGGAATGTAGTTGAAGGAATATGTCCAGGTGAGAGAAAAGCTCCAGAATTGATCAATGAAATCGTTTGTGAAGATGATAGAATAGTTTCCCACAGCCAAGATATTGCAAATGAGTTTGTTGATTTTTATACAGGGGTCGGGCAGAAGTTATCATTGCTCAGGGTATAAAAAGACCTAACGAATATAAAGAGACAAAAAAATTTTTTGGAAATTCTTTGTACTTTCCTGAGATAACATCAGAAGATGAAATCTTATCGAACATCAAAAAATTGAAAGCAAAAAAAGCCCTAGGTGTTGATGAATTTCAATCAGAAACATTAAAAGGGATTGCAGGATTTATTAAACAACCCTTGTGTTTTATAATGAATAATATTATTCAAACAGGAAAATATCCCGTTATACTGAAAACTGCAATAATCAAACCGCTTCATAAGGAAGGGGATAAAAACAAATGTTCAAATTATCGACCTATTTCAATAATATCTAATATATCGAAAATTTTTGGAATGATTAGAAAGGAAAAGATATCTTACTTCCTGAATGAGTATAATATCTTAAGTGAGTAACAGTTTGGCTTCAGGGATGGTAGGTCTACGCAAGATGCAATTGCTTATCTTACCTCAAATATCTCTAAATTACTAGATCAGTCAAAACCAGCACTTCGCATCTTCGTAGATCTCGCCAAAGCATTTGATACTGTTGGTCATCCAGATCTATTTATTTGCATGGAAGACATAGGTATCAGAGGAAATACTTTGCAGTTGTTACAAAGCTATCTGTCAGGTAGAAAACAATGTGTTATGATGGAAAGGAATATAAGTGAAATGAGGGGGGTTGAGTATGGTGTTCCGCAAGGTACTGTACTGGGTCCAATTCTCTTCAACATATAACTACCTACTTGAATAATCTGTTTTCTCAGAGGAGCACAGGCAGGATAGTTAGCTCCGCCGACAATACGGCAATTCTTTATAGTGATAGTTCATGGGAACGTTTATACCGAAAATCTGAAGGAGATTTCGAAAGGATCGAAACTTGATTTGATTCGAGTCTTTTGACAATAAACAATACGTCACATTCGCTTTTAAAACGCCAAAGGACCAACCAACTCTCAGAATACCAAGAACAGACATTCAAATCGAACCAACACAAAATATAAAGTACCTGGGTATTATAATTGATGGTAACCTGAAGTGGGATATACATGTGAAAGAACTCACGCAGAAAATAAGAAATCTGTTATCTGAATTAAGATAGCCCAGAAATTTTCTTGATATGAACCAACTCCTCATGATGTATTATGCCTTGGTTGAATCACAGTTGTTGAGATATGGGATCATTGCGTGGGGTGGGGCCTATGATAATCGAATAAAGTATTTGGAAATTATCCAAAAATGAGTTCTCAAAATAATATTCAGAAAAAAAATTACTCACTTCTCGGAACAATTATATAAGACTGCTGGAGTCCTGGATATTCGACAAATTTTTAGTTCCATTATTGTTCTGGAACAAAAGAAGTCAACAAACTTTAGAACAATTGTACATATTCATGATACTCGAACATAACATAACTATTCCATACCATAAGTAACGAAAACACTGGCACTTAGATGTTTTACATACCTCGGACCTCGGACATACAACAAATTGCCAGATGAAATTAAAAAACTTAATTCACTAAACATGTTCAAAAAATACGTGGAAAAATGGCTATTAGACTAACCAAGATGTACTGCACACAAATTTATCGACCTGAAATTATCTGTATGATAGGAAATAAAACAAATTTTATTTCTCTTTTTTTTTTCTCTGGTTTTTCTCTGCTTTATTTTGAACTCTCATCCATTTTTTATCCTTTTTTTTTCAAATTAATATTGTATAATTTCATATTATCGAAATATTTGATTTACAAGATTACATTTTTCTATGAAAATAGCTTGAGCTGCAAAAAAAGCCTCTTATATTGTATTTCGCAGACAAGTCTCGACTTTAGCGATTCAGATATATTGCTCCCATAATATTACATATTTTATGTCAACCGTATGATTTTTTTCACATATAGCCACTTACAGTAGATTTATTATTTATAATTTGATTATTTTCTCGCATATTATATATATCTACCCATGTATGATGATGAGTTGATAATTATTATTATTATTATTATTATATAATTGCTTTTTCTCAATGGTACATTGTCTTCTCTGAGTAAACTTTTCCTGAGATTTGCACCACGTATGCCACAAAGTTTTTGATCACGAATAAGATCATCCTGTGAATTTGCAATATCACAAGATGATTGTTTGAGAGCTGTCACATAATGATGAAAGAATTCACCTTCTTGCTGATTTCTCTGATCAAATATACAGTGTGTCCATTTAGTGCGTAATTCTTCGATATCTCGGAATCAATTATCACAAGAGAAAAACTTTGGGGAAAAAACTTTTTCAGTTACTAATGTTGCTCATTTCGAAAATATTTCCAACAATACTGGGTGTTTTATAAAAGCGGGGCAACTCGAAGACGAGTTTTTTCAAATGGAACACCCAGTATTGTTCATTCGAAATTTATTGTGCTCAAGTTCAGCTCTACATCGCTGTAAAAAAAATGAATTTGGTTGCGGCGTTGCCAAGTTATGATTGATAAACCCATTTTAACTACTGTTGAAGGGTTATGTTCAATTGGGTATGGTATATTTATTTAATGAAATTTCGAAAATAGTTTTGGCATACAGTAGTAGCATGGTCTTACGTATACCAATCCAGTAATCTTGAGAGATAATCCTCTACAGGGTGCTAAAATTTACATTCTGAATATTGTAAGATTCAGACGACGATCATGAGAATTTTTCAAATGGAACACCCTGTATTTTTCATCACGGATTTATCTCGACACCATTCGCCTTTTCATCGCAAAAGAAAAAATCAAAATCGGTTGCGGCATTTTCAAGTTATGAATAATTTCCTCATTTTTACTACTATTTCGGGGTGATTTGTACGTCATGATGGTTTCTTCATTTGATTTGAGTGTGGGAATATTGCTTGCCACATGACATTTGAGGTTCTACATAGATCATTCAGGTATTTTTGTGATATGTGCATCGTCCAAATTTGAAATATTCCGTAATCTTGTTACTTATGATTCAAATAATATGTGACAAACAAACATGCCAAAATCAACGCCTGTCTTTGAAATAACTTCTACAATACAAACAATGAAGATGCGGATTGTGAAAATTACTAAATTTTTTTGACATTTGAGCCATTTTTATTGTCGTTATTCCCACAATCCAAATCTCCATTTGACTTGAAGAAGAGGTGAACATAATGATACGAACAATATGTCTCTACTACGCGGCTTTTGGAAGGAAAGTCAGCAAAATGTCGAATTAATCCAAGATATATTTGATTGTGGCGATGTTTGACAGATCATCACACAAATATAAGTGTATTCCGAAAATAATTCAAACTTGGAGAGCCTGTAAGGATTCCTATTGTGAAAAAATATATGAATGGTCAATGAACACATTTGATTATACCGTAACAACGCAATATTTCCACAATACAAATAAATGAAAGAACTATGACGTACAAATTACCCCGAAATATAAGTAAAAATAAGGAAATTATCCATAACTTGACAACGCCGCAACCGATTTCGATTTTGTCTCCAGCGATACAAAGGCGAAAGATGTCGGAAAGAATTTTTGGATAAAAATACAGGGTGTTCCATTTGAAAAATTCTGATGAATG